ATGGATTAGGTTTAGGGCAGGTTAGTCTGGGATTCTGATTTACAGCTGAAAACTTAAAAGGATTTACAACAAAACCCACACAACACAGTGCTCTTGCGTGGATCTCCAGGGCTGAGTGGGAGTGAGTCTTCTATTTAGATAACAACCTAACAGCCATCGATAGTAACTCATTGATATCGTCACCAAATGAATTCTTTTCCTAAGATGGTATTTGTGATTATAACAGAAGAGATTGTAGTGCTGGGTAGAAAGTTGTATCAACTATCCCCTTTTGTGAACCCTTTTAGACTTCATAGTTCTATAAGAACCAAGTATTCATATTTTATTTTTAGGGTACTGTTAAATTTGATACTCAAACCTCACATTAAAATTCTAATCACCAATGAAGAGTGATAGAAAGAACATGGGCTTTGGGGCCACACTGCATCATCTATTATAAGTGTGCGTGGGCATATTGTATCACCTCCCAAAGGCTATTTCCTCATCTATAAAACGTAATTTGTGATACCTACTTTACATAATTATTGTCAACTAGTAAGAGTACATATAAAATTGCTAAAATAGCACCTGGTACTATTACTATCATTAATAGAAATAAGCTTTACTACTTATTAAATCTTATACAAGAAATAAACTAGCTAAGGACATGTTAGTTAATGATTATTTTTACCTGCTTTATATATAAACTCATTCTAATGTAAAACTGTTTAAAAGTTACATTTTACATAGTTTTTAAGAACCCATTATGGTTTGCAAGAAGCTATTTAAAAACCAAATTTTTTTCCTCTGAAGAAGACAAAAGTCATTTAATAAGCAAGTATGTAGGTCAGTGACCACATCTGCTTACTGTAAGGGACATCCACCCTTTGGGTTTGCCCTGCAGAGAGGAGCTGGTTTCCTCGGAGGACCTGCTGGAGTGGCTGCGGCCCTTCTGTGCTGATGACACCTGGCCGGTGCGGCCCCGCATCCACGTGCTGCAGGTTTTGGAGCAGTCCTTTCACCTGACCGAAGAGGACAGCAAGCTCCTCGTGTTCTTCAGGACTGAAGCCATCCTCAAAGCCACCTGGCCCCAGAGACAGGTAAGGGAGCACCTGATTGATTTTTTTCCTTATGAACAGTAATTAGAGGTCTGCTCTTGATTACTTTAACCTACTTTCAACTAAATAATCAGCTTGGCGATACAAATTTTCCAAAAGGTTTCCAGGTCCAGCTAGTCAGTGACTGCATATGTGCGACAAAATGTATTTCTGTTTTTCCGTATGTTTGAACGTGCATATGTGTAAAGATGATGTCTCACTCTCCAAACTTGTGTATATCAGTTTTCTCCTCATGGAGATAGGATGATTCACAGTATCAGTTAATTATGCTGGCTTACCCTTTCCCGGGAAAATTGCAGATCTGAACTGAAATGTCCGTTTATGCTCAACCAGGGCTGCCCCCCCCCTTCTCCTCTGTACTTAGATGGATGTGATGTGGCAGAGACAATAGATCGTAGTTTCTCCACACTGTTCTTTGAGACTCACTCAGCTCATCTTCTCACTGGAACCTTCCCTGACCATTTCACATTTGATTGAACCTTGAGTTCCACGTATTTGAGCTTTACTTACTCATTATTGTAAATCATTTTGTAATAATCTTACTCAAAATTTTGCCTTCCCACCTTCATGAAAACTCTGAAGCTCTGGAGGATGCACTTCCCATTTTTTGAATCCCTTTAAGTTTCCTGTGGACATACTCAGAGCTTAAATTCTTATTGTTTGAGTAAATGGAAATGCTAAGTACTAAATCAAAGAAATTTGGTAGCTGTTGAAGTTTGGCTTAAATTCTAAACTGATGCATCCTAAGGATATGGAGTCCAGAGTCAGGAACCTCAGTCAGAGATTGAGGAGAGACGGGCGCCATCAAGTCAGCACAGGCTCCAAACCACGACTTCCCAGATAATCTCAGCTGCAAGAGTTTCCTGGGAGTCTGACTCCAGCTCAATCTACCTTCTAATTTTAAAGCTTTATTTATAATTTATATCCTTATTGCTACATCTAAAGACCAGTGAATTTCTTTTTTGAAAAATAAATATTAAGAATATCTCGGGGCTCATCTCAGAGCATCTTTGTCATTATTATTTCACGTGTTTTTATTTCCATCTGCAAGACAAATAGGTAAATAATATTGTTTACTCTTCAGAGTTAGCGAAATTGAGATCCAAAAAAGGTGGATCAGAGATTTTCCAGTCTTGCCAAATCACCGAAACAGGTTGTAATAAAAACGTCACTCATATCTGAGTAAGACTCTCTGAAGCACCATGACCTTCCCAACCAGCATGTTCAGTCTCATTGCTTCACTCTGAATTACATCAGAAGACAGTTGTTTTGCCCCATGGAATGTTAGTTTCTGGCTGGTCTGGAAGCAAACGAACATGACCATAGTCATGCACTTTCCTGACACAGTGTTCACTTTCCAAGTTCTCAGCCGTGTTCAATGTCTTCACCTCCCTTGATTGCAGGAGTCTGCCAGTATGATGAGCTGGTTTCTCTGGTGGGAACCTCACTGTATGTTCTGTCAATCTATGTACTGAGACTATTATAGCCAAGAAAAGGGGAAACATCCATCTTATCTGTCATGTTGAAACACCACAACATACACTTTGATATTGGGGCCCAAGCTCTTCATAAATAATATAAGTATCACTGCTGTTTCTTCTTTAAGCTTTTCTCAATGTTCCAATTACTTAAGTTGTAATTTTGATAAGATTTTAATGATTTCTGAATATTTCTGAAATTATAATTTCCTTATAGCTTAACTTTTTCTAAAAACAAGACTTAAGGCAGTTTAGCCTCTGCTATTAAGATTCCTTTTTCATGTACTTTTCTAAATTGACTTGACTTTACAGCTGTGAATGCAAACTATTTCCTCTCAATTCCCCAGTCTGTGTATGATGCCACATCTCACCATTAATTCCTCTGTGGTGGTGCAAACTTTTTCAGATCCTCTAGGAAATATCTCTCCCAAAAGGCCCTGAATGATTAGTAATATTTGTGTCATGTCCTCCTAATCCTTTTAATAATATCTTCTCTGCTTTCTACTTTCCCCTGATATAAGAGGGATTTTCCTGTTCTTGACTGTTAATGATCTAAGTTTTAAATACAGAATTGGGTAACAGAGATAAGAATCTACCACAGGGGTCTAATGATGCTATTCACTGACAGTCTTGATGGTCTAAGAAATAAAACTGTGTCTCTCCCTCCTCCTTTAGAAATTAGGTATTCTACGCCTGCCCAGCATTGCTGATTTAAATCTGTATTGAAGGACAAATGAATTTTATGGGTGAATTATGTCTTATAATTATAAATAACTTCTTATTTGAAGAGTGAATGCAGGAAAATTATGGGCTTAGAATGAAAACATCAACAAGTGGAATTTTAAAGAACTATGTCCATAGTTTAAATCTGTTAAATTATTGTTTTTCAAAAATTATCTTACCTTTGACTGGAGCAATAGAAAATTCAGGGCCCTGGTGGATGAGAACACGTGTGTGTCTCTGTCCCTCTACCAATAGTTTTATCATCCTGGGGACGACTCGTAAACTATGCGCCTTGGCTGGTTGGTGGGTAACAGGGACGCTTGAACTGGAGGGGCTAGAGGATGGTGTGCTCCCCTCCTCTGTGATTTCCTCCGCCCACGTTAGACTGTATTTTTCATCTCCACCTCCCAGACACCCAGACGATCTGCAGTGTTGACTGGATGGGCCTCATTTTCTTCACTTTCTCCCTATCCCCTTCTTAATTTGCAGAGGCACTCTAGGTAACATGAAGGATGGAGACGGGTTCTTACAGCGTGAGGATAAGAATAGATAATGATATTGCAATGTTCAATTACCAAAAAATGTAGGACTGCTCCCTTCACTGTGGCTGGTAATCCTCTTAGGCAGACTTTGCATACATCAAAGAGGGACTTAATATTTAATTATCCTTGAGGTACCCAAAGTAGTGGCCCCACAAATCAATGTGTTGCTGGGAAACCAGCCAGCTACTGCAAAATTAAACACAGAGCCTGTGGTGCCTGCTACCTCCCTGGTTCTCAGAGAGACAGCAATTTCTAGTTTTCTAATGATTGGTTAACAGAATTAAAAATTCAGAGGCCCTCATTTTTCAACAGTTGGAGAGACTTTCGTTTCCATTCCAGAAATGTGCCCCAGTTTGTGGTGGGAGGCAGGAAGAGGCGGACTTGAAGGGTAGGGAGAGGATGACTGTACTGTGTTAATCCCGTTGGTGCAGTTTATCTGAGTTTTTCAGCTTTTGTAATTTTCTAGTTAACTGGTGCATGAAAAATATGGGTAAAAATACTGATGTTTCCTTAAAAAAATCCCATACCTCGTCATCCCAATTTTTTTTTTTTTTTACCATTTTTATGTGAAAGAGAACACGTGGCTGAAAGTTTTACCTTTAAAATTTTAGTGTATGTGAATTTGTGGTTGTAAGTGATCACCAAAAGAATTGGTTTGAGACAACTTGTAATCTCATTGCAAATTCATGGTTTTACCTGCTCTGGAATGTGCAAAGGTGTATTAACCCTTCTTTTCAGAAACCATTGGGGTCTATTTGCTAAAACATTAATAAAGTATATACTTTTCTGTCAGATGGAGTTCAGAGAACAATGACAAAAGTCCAATATGTGAAGCTATTTTTAGTTCCTTGGAAATAATTTACTGTTACTGAACTGTCTTTAGAGCTAATGACATGATTTGCTTAACCAAATACGGGATAGTATTTGATGTTGAAAATATGTGTGCCCATGTATACATAATAGCTGTGAAATCACAGATTGCTAAAATGAGAAGAGGTGGTCAAAACAATCCCACTTCAGTGGTCATATTTTATTCAAAAAGATGTGCGTGTCCAGAAAGGAGAAATGACTTCCTCAGATTGTAGTTGAAATGTCACCTTTTCTAAAATGACTACATAGCCCAGATTAACCATTCCGTCCTAATCTATTTCATTGCTGTCCTAGTTCTCTACACATCACTTGCCACTGTCTGCTAACTTCTTCCTACATATCTTTATGTTTGTTTATCGTAAGGTGTCTTGTTTCTTCTGTTAGGATATAAATTCCTTGAAAACAAGGTTCTCAGAGATACTCAATAAATATTTGTTGCATAAATGAATATTAAATCTTAAAAACTTATCCAAGGTCACCCTTAAAATGGCAGGGCCAGGACTCCTGACTTCCAGTCTGACGTTCTTGCCATTAATGAGGAGGGATGAGACTGTTCTGCTTCCTCTCGACATGCGAGCCAAATGATTTGCGGGAGTGATGGGCAGAGTTTCCTGCAGGGCAGCCTGGTGCCTTTACATCCACGCCATTCTGTATTAATTTGCTATACTTTGCTGATGGTGATTTCCAACCAGCCAACTGCTTCTCATGTGGAGGTGAACAAGTCACAAACATGGCTTTCTATATAGGAGTGAAACGTCTGAAATGTTAGAACGTGCCTTTCCCCCAGGATGATGAGACCATCTGTATTAATTATGCCTACAGAATTTGGAGGTGTTGAGAGTCTCTCTTTATGACTAACAGGTGCTTTCCTTTAAAGCCCTGCTCTCTCACTGGCATCACTGGGGGAAGAAGGAGGACCTTGAAATGTGTCCTACATGTACTTTGATCCTTAGAACTCTCTTGCCAAGTAGTTACCATTCTCTCTGTTTGAAACACACCCGTGGGACCAGTTTAAGGTGCACGTGGTACTCAAACCCCCGTTCTCTCTGACCCTATACTACACTTCTTCTGTGCTTGGGAAATATATTTGGGAGCACTGAACTACGTCAAGTATGGCCCTTCTCTCTTCCCACTGTCACTTTACATAGATTAAAATTTGATTAAACATGAGATATCAGGAGTTTGAAGGAGAAAAGAAAGCCTTCCTTGCTTCATCTTTTAGCATTTGTCACTGTCTGAATCATCATAGTATATATGTTCAGTGCTGCTTAATTAAAATATGGAAAAATGCTGTGCCTAATAACTGTCGTGTGAACAAAGCGATGTGTGAAATATTCATCAAGCGTGTATTATGTGCCACATACTACGC